AGACAGAACAGGCTCCTGCTTGACCTAAATCTAGTTTCTCCATGTCTGTAAGTGGTGTACACAAGGGCCAACTTCACCTTGGCACCTTGTCACAGCATTGGCCCTGCTTAAGGACGGAACCAGGGGCACAAGCTACGGGAGATCCGGGCGTTCAGCGGAGCCATTCAGCATCAGCCCCACAGCCCCAGGGAACCATGTGAGCAACCATGCAGAGACTGTGTCAGACATTGGTGCTTTTGGACGCAACTCTTCACCACAGGGCTGCACAACACTGGAGGATGCAGATATCCCGGCATCCTGGATGGGTTAGACAGGCTGGGAAGAGGCTTTCTGAGGCCATAACAGGATCTGCAGCACCGTGACCTGAAGACCTCGTGATCTAGCTGGGTAAATGAATCTTCTTTATGGCAACATATGGAGCCAGCTACAGAAAGTGGCTCCTATTCCCTTGGGAACAACTTGGATGCTGTAGGACATTCAGTGTAATACCCAACAGCCTATTGAAGGCCCAGCTGCTCTCCCACTGGGCTGAGCACTGCTTCAATAGTTCTGCAAATCAGAAGTAAGCATACGTCTCGCCAGAGCTTAAAATGCTAATCAACAGTTCCAGAAAGAAGGAAATCAGTCTGTCCTTCTCCCTGTCGCTGGCACACCATAGGCTAACATGTTGTACCAAGGATGCATACAGAAATAGGAATAAAATGAGAAGTCTCTTCTAGTCCCTCTGTCTTTGCTCATACTCCCAACAGTCTGAGGGCAAGGAAGTCTCCTGCTGTGGGGATTTGCACCTTGCTGCAGTCTCACTCTAAATCTTTCCCGTGGCAGGTTCACATGGGCATACGATTTTTGTGCTTCCCTGTCAAATGGCCGTGTGGCACTGCTGCACATCATTGCAGGGATCCCTCTCCCAGGTGTATGTGGGTACATTCAATAGTGAATGAATAACATCTGTGTATCCAGCCTAGGAAACACCTTGGGAGCATTTTAAAGTAGAGGGACAAAGGGCAGGATCCTTCATAGCCACAGTTTTCCTGCAAGGATAATGATTTCTCAGATGGGAGTATCTGTTTCTTACTGATCAGCACTGATGCCATGTCAGATACAACAGTAGGAATCCAAGGAGAGTGAAGCCCTTTAGCCTTAGGCTGGGTCCTCCAAATATCACTGTGAAAATGCATCCTGCTTCACAAACCGCAGCACGGGAGGTTCCTCTACTACACGTGCTTTGCTTATTAATCTCAGTCAAACTGTTGCCATATCCTGCCCTGCTCAATCAGTGAGTTCCACTATTGTATGGCTGCAGGAGGCTTCTTGCAAACGGCAAAACAGGTAAAAGCCGCAATTAACTCCAGATGAAAAAGATGGTCTCCTTGGAGGTGCTGGCTAATCAAGCAATTAGAAGCTACTTCCCATTACCTGCGCTCCTGCAAAGCAGAGCTAGACTGACACCCTTCCAAATGACTGCCTTTCCATCTATTTAAGCCCTTTATATGATTTAGCTTCAGCAGAGACCAGCCTTGACCTCTGGGTTCTCCCCAGCCCTTTCTCTCAGGTTTGAACAAAGCAAGCACAAGAACCTACACATTCAGTCACTGATGTGTTCTCCCTGTGGAGCCTGTTTTGCCTCTCAGCCTTCCTGGAGCGCAGCAAACTCACCAGCAATGTGAAGCTTCCAGAGTCCCTTACCAGTCTTTCTCCTTAAAGGTCTGGTGTCTGCATTTCACCAGAAGTTGCCTGGCTCTTCTCTGCATGCACTCTCTAGCGTTAGAGAGCTTAGCTGAACCAGTTGTCTTTCCCTTTGTCATTAGTAGCTCTGCAGAGAAAATTACAACTGTGGGGTAGAGAATACACTTGTTTCATTTTCCACACTTGACACCTTTTCACTTTCAGAACCTTGTTCAAGCAAGGAAGATGAAAAGAGAGGTAGGAGAGACTCTTTCAATCATATCTCATCACCCATTCTTACGCACACAGCTTTTCCCAACTGCTACAAAAACTACATACAGAATAAGCACAACCTGTGGTATCTCAACTGTCCCCCCAAAAAGGCTCTCACTGATCCTGCTGGTGATCGTTTCCAGAAGTCATTGTAAAGATCACTTTGTGCAGCCTCTTCCACTGCTACTACTCATGTTGCCCTGAGAATCTTGTCCTTCACCTCAACCTCTTTCACACAACACTTAAGAGACTGATCGCTCACCACTATCACTCAGCCAAACCACTGTGGCTGAGATTAGAAAGACAGTGTCTGCTCCCCACTGATTATTTTTATCCCAATGATCCCTGATAGGTACAGAGATTCTCCCTAGTCTTAAAACAGGATCTGACAGGGCGACCCCCTAGTCAGCATATATGATGCTTCTCCTTCTGTGTCAGGTCAGCACACATGCCATTTGCCTTTAAATCATGCAGCAGAGCTACAGGCTGCAGCTCCCAGTCTCCAGCTACGACGCTGGCGTCGAATCGGAGATCCCCCATCAGCAGGGGTCATGCAAGTCTGCCTGGTGCCAGCAGAGCTGCGCTGAATTGCTGTAAACCTGCCTCACAAGCCCTCTGGCTTTGCTCAAAGATCAGTCCCATTGGCATGGTCTCCATTTACACCAGTTTTCCCACAAAACCACTCCATTTGTCAAACGGCCAAGCCTCTGATAAGATTCTCAGGAGCAGGTCACACCAGAAGACAGACTATTTCTAATTGACTGAAGATACAATGCTTCTATACACAAAATTGGTTTTTCTTCATCTTTATGCCCTTTTGCAAGCTCTTGCCTAATTTGTCAGCTCGTCACATTTCTCTGTATTTCCAGTTGCTATTTCTCCCATTTGTTCTGCACTGATCCAAACTGTACTTAATTACTTCTTGCCTACACTTGAGAGTCATCCAGAAAGCCTGCTCTTGTGCCTGGTGAGGGAACTGGAAGTCTTACCACTGAATCTGAGAGCAGCAGGGTCAGGCCGAGGCATCCTGGGAAGGTTCCCTTGCTGTCATTTTCTCTTCTATTTGAATTCATTTGCAAGTTCCCAGGTGTGATGCTGGCCCCAATGGGGATGGTTTCAGGATCCCTCTCTGTACTCTCTTCTGCCCCAACACTCCACCTTGCCCTTCTGCCATCTATATTTCAGCTATTGTATTTTAAATGTACCGAGGATGTAGCTACGTTGGAATCAAATTTGTTCCTGAAGTAACCCTACCGAATCCTCTGGGCTCCAGCAAAGACAACTTCAACACATTAGGTTCCTCAAACCCTTTTTGTTTTTAAATACCTTGATTTGGTACCTTGTAACTAATGGACATTTACCTTGGCTTTTAATACTGCCCAGTTTCACCAGCGCCTTTATCTTTATATATGTCACTCTCTGCATTTCTCTCTTTTATCATCTCTCTCTCATTAGCATTTCCTCTCTGTCTCCTTCTCATTTCTACCTTTTTTCCTCCCTCTCTCTGTCTCTTTAAAATTAAATATTGCCCAGCACTGGCCATGTTGGTGAAATGAATGCTAAGAAGGAAGGCTGCTGGGGATGCTGGATTTGAGCTGCCTCGCTGGGAATCAATGAGGCATGGACGGTTCATCTAGCTCTGAAAAACTGAAAGAAAACAGGGCGTATCAGTGGCAGCTGAACACGCAATGGAGAGAAAAGGTCCCACCTCCCAGCATCTGCCTGAGCCTCTGAGAGACACACGCAAACTGAGCCAGAGGTGGCTGCTGCAGTAATTTAATGGGGGCTAACCTCAGGGTGGCTTTCCATGGCTCCGGTGGAGAGGAGATTGCCAGTTGGAAGCCCGCGGAGCAGTAGGGGTCTGTAGTGAGCAGCCAGCCTGCCCTGCTTCATCTATCCACTAAGCTAAGAACCACAGCTGGTACCAGCCATGCTACAAGGATGCAGTGCTGTGACAGGGAGCATCTTGCCAGTTACGGGCTGCCATTAATCCTGCCATTAAACTGCAGGGAAATCCTGACTAGACAATACCTAGAGCCTTAAACTACATATGAGCAGACCTAACGCATCCAAATGTGCCCACAATATATCCATTAGGTGAAACTACTTTGCTTACGCCCTCGTGTTCCCCCCATACCTCCTTACCATGCAGCCAGACAGGCCCAAACAACTTAAACCAGCCCCACAAACCTCGATATATGAGCAACAGCAGGTGTACACACCGCTTCGCTTCTTCAACCTCCCGCCTTCCTCCCTCTCACATGCACCTTCTCTACCACTGTCTTTGCACACTGTTGCCTCCTGACTCCTTCTCACCATGTCGGCTGCGATTCTTGAAATGCCTCTCCCCAACTTGGGCTAGAGTGTCTGGGGACTTCTTCTTATAAGGGGCAAGATGCATAGTAGAACATCCTCTCTAAATAATGTGCTTACTTCCTTTATAACCAATCATTAGACACCTACCTCTACTCTCAGTGCTGTGGGCTGCTGAGGGTTAATGGTGACACACACTCCTGGGTTACTGCGTTTCCTGACTGCAAGCACCAAAAGTGATTTATGCTATTATTTTCTTTGGGGGTTAATTAGGGGCTTGAGAAAGTAAAGGGCTGTCAGTGCTAGCTGGAATTGGTCTAGTGAAGCCAGGGGAGAGCAGTCATCCCTCACAGATTTCTGGTAATATATCTTTGTCCTGAACATCAATATCTCCAGCTCCCACCACTCAGTGTGGCAGAGGGCCCTCCATCCCGACCTCCAGCAACCCTGTTAGTTTTGGCATAACCTCTGAGGCACGCTGCTGTGCTGAGTCCTGGCATTTCCACCTGGCAGCTTTCACACCCTTAATTTTCTGTTATCTTCTCCCTTCCTAAGCTTGCCAATAATGCCTATCAATGGACAGGGAAAATCCACATCACATTCTCTTAGGGGCAGGAAGGAGATACCTCCTCTTGGTATTTTTTGCAGCTTAGAACCACCTGGAACCTCCTTGCTCCTGTTTTACTTCCTCTAGCTGCCTAGGGCTTGCTGAGGCCTGAGAAGCCAACACATGCTATGGCTGCCCCTACCTCTTTTCCCAGATCCTCACGGATAACTTGCTCAATCTCCTGCCTGGTGCTCTGCGGGGCCTGGCTGTGCAGCACTTTGAGGGTGCGGGTGTACTCCTCAGGCAGCAGGTAGTCAAGCGCTCCCAGGTGCTGTCCCACCTTGATGAAGGTGCCTCGGTTGGCGCAGCACAGCTCCCGGAGGCGCTCAGCAGAGCGCAGGTGCACCTGCGGAGAGACCGGAACATCAGCCAAGCCCGTTCACTGTCTGTTACATGCACACGCCCACATGTGTTTCTTTTATTTGTCCAGTACTTCAACAGACCAAAATTTCCTTTTTTGATTTGAGGCACCATCATCTAATGTGTCAGCTGAGCATTAGGACCCTGGCTTGATTTAGAGGGGCTGAACCAGACCAGGGCGAGATGCTCCAAAGTATAAGGGGCTTTGACACTTGTTTGCACAAGCACCATGATCAGCGACAGAACTTTAGGTTTTGACTCTGTCCAGGTCTACATCCTTGCACAGAAAAAGATGTCCAGCCACAGGGCACTATTGGTTTGTCACTCTGTCACCACTAGGATGCACAGTTTGGAAACCTCTTGTAAAAAGACAAAAGTCAAGACCACAACCATGTATGTTAGACTCTTAGTGTAAGTGAGATGAATTGAAGTAAGAAGAAAACTACAGATACCATCCCAGAAGCTTCCAGGAACTTGTGAAAAGGATCCATTAAAAATCAAAACGACAGATGTCTGTTTGGCAGTGAGAAGGAAAGTTTATGGACAGCTCTTCACCCTCCTCAGCTCACTCGGACAGAAGAGGAAATTACACCCCTCCAGTTCAGCGATGTCTCGGTCTTACTGCTTACATTGTCAACAAAGTCTGCAATGGCAATGGCTTTAGGAACTCAGAATTACAAGGCTTGCTATCTTTGTTCACGCTGGCCAAAAGGCAGCCACCAAATGACAAAATGCATCACTAACCGCTTGCGTGGTCTGGATTTCAGCTTCTGAGGTTCAACTCGTCTCTCAAGAACAGACCTGCAACCACATCCTTCAGTGACAGTGATTTATTTTGCCTTTATTACTCTCACTAGAAAAGCCTCGTGCCAAGGACACAGCTATACTCAATATTCTTTAATAAACTTCAGATAAACTTACCCCGAAACATTATTAATATCCAAGCAAATCAATGACAAAAAATAACTCCAGAACCCATCCTCTGTTAATGTCTGACACTTATCTGCATGGAGGCTCCTAATTCCTTTGGCTTCTGTGTCAGAAGTCATTGAAGGTCAAATCCTGTGTCTGCAGACCTCATCTGCCCAAGATCCTGTAGTGAGGGATTCCACCAAAAGCCTCCAAGTATGTGGGAGAAAGGAACATCACCACAAATATGCCTGAACACAACACACATCCACTCATCCACCCCATTTAGTGGCTATCTTTGTCCTCTGTCCAAAGCAGCGCCGTGTCACATTTCGGGATTGGGTAAGTGTGCTGCAAATGCTCAAAGCACAGGCCTAGGGGAGTCTGAAGAGAAACCCTAATGTGCAAGTCTCACACTCAGTGTGTGGGACTTCACACCTTCATACACACACGCACACACACACACACACACAGACACTTCCCTAGGTGCGTGCCTACAGGCAAGCATAACTCGTGCTAGGAGCTTCCCCCAGAATATTGACTAAAGCACTCACAAATACATCTGCAGAAAATAACATCCATAGTCACGCCCGAGGACGCCCATATTATCGTGCTGCATCTTATGCACCAGCTTTTAAAGCTCCTGCTGTAACTAGCAAGCCTCTGCCCTGGCTGTTTCCTTGCTCTCCCCTCCTGCGTACATGAGGGCCAAAATCAGGCCAAAAAATGACAAGGAAGGGAAATTGTGAAAGAGGAGGAGAGTGCAAGAAAAGCAGGAAGGGAGAAATAGGATGAAAGAGAAAGGCATCAGGCAGGAGGGAGCCAGAGCAGCTGGGTAGTTTTGCCACAGTACCGGGAGCACAGCCCATTACAGGGGAACAGCTTTTATGCAGCTCTGATAATCACCAGCTTCCCGCTGTGGAGTTTCCTCCACTGCCTCCAGCCGTGGAGACCAGCAGTAAAGGGGCAGGGGAGAGGTGGCCAGCAACTCCCCCCGAGGGGTCAGGCAGCCACAAGCCCAGAGCACCCGCTGGCAAGAGTGGCAAGGCTTGTGCGGACGTGCTCCAAAAATCCCAGCATGGGGTAGGGGCCAGCACAGGGCCCTGCGACCCCCAACAGGCCCAGCAGGAGTCCCTCCAATGACTCCGGGCTGTGGCGTGGCTCCGGGCCAGCGGCCCTGGGGCTGAAGCTGGGCAGCCAGCTCGGGGTAGAGGTGGTGGCTCCAATGCACCAACCCTCCCTATGCAGATCACCAAGGAAGATGTAAAAAACAGGATGGAAAACTCACATAGCTGAAAATGCAACTAATTGCAAACATACTTGGATGCAGGGTGTATCTTCATGTCTGCCAATGCTGAGGAGGCAGAAATAGCCTCTCTCACACACAAAGAGAGAGGAAATTTTGTCCCTCCTCAAATTATCCACCCCATGGAACCCAGTTGGCCTCATGGACACAATACTTGGATGCAGGGTGTATCTTCATGTCTGTCACTGCTGAGGAGGCAGAAATAGCCTCTCTCACGCACAAAGAGAGGAAATACTGTCCCTCCCCAAATTATCCACCCCACAGAACCCAGTTGGCCTCGTGGACACGGCAGTGCTGGCCAACGGAGACAGAAGTGTCCTTACAGAGGGCTCCAGGAACAAACTAGAACAAAACCTCCACACGTAACATCCTTCACCATGCTCTCACAACTGGCTTGGCTACAAGTCCTAAGAGACAGCTGCCCTGGCTGGCTGTCCAGACCAGGGAATGCTAGCTCCTGCCCCTGCTAGAGAGACAGAAGATGACTAGACAACTTGTCTCAGAAGAAGGAAATCTACTGTAGCCCTACATTTTCCAAAACTCCAGACTGCATTAGAGGCAGCAATATGGTGAGAATGAAGCAGGACTGTGAATGCAGCTTCCAACTTCTCTTTTCTTACCAACCACTTCAGTTTTTTTAGCAGAAAAATGTTCATTACACTATCTCTTAATCACCTGGCTCTCCCCAGCCAGGTCACAGTCCAGGTGCAGCACTTATTTCTCCAACAGAAGACCTTCTCCTAATCACAGGCAAAGTAAAAGTGTCACATTCCTACTACTGTGTCCGATACCACTGACCCATGTTTCTGTCCTACCCTGAAGAAACTGCAGTGTAAATGGAAATCACAGAATGTCTCAGAGCTTTTCTCCAAGCAATCTCACAACATACTGCTCTTTGTTGCCCAAACAATACTTGAAGACTCTTTTATCAATGAAAAGAGCTGAGAACAACAGCTAGTTAGACAGGGACCTGCTTGTATGCATCGTGCCTAGGAGCACACTGCAGAAAAAGGAGGCCTTTTATGTACCAAGGATTACCAAGAACAAGCCTCCCTCAGGAAGCACTTCAGATCACAAACGCTCTCTGTGTGTATGGTTCTCTCCTCAGTCCACACAGGCATCTCTTTCTGTCTCAGACCCCTTCCTTGAATTTTAGGAGGGCAAATTCTCCACCAGCCCATAGCATGGCTATCAGACTCACGTGGTTTTACCAAAAACCTGGGTAGACTGGGATTAACGTTCATTATTCAAATTGTTCCATATGGGCCATAGTGAAACAAACAACTGCCAGGTATGGAGAAAATGCACCTCTTTGATACAGCAAATACTCAGCAAGCAGATACACAAAGGGACATTTTTTAATTTACCCTTGATGTACAAGCAGACCTGGCTTCTCAAGTTATTTTGATGCTTTTGAAGAAGCCTTTACTCACAGAGACCTTGGCAAAGAACAGCATCAGATGTGCAGGTGTCACAAATTGGCAGATGCTAATCTGGCCTTAAAAATAAAGACATTTAGAAAAAAATAAATACTGAAGTTAAATTATGTTGGCAAAAGCTTGAGTATTCGGCATATGGTGACAGACCTCGTGACAAAAGGGCTTGGAAAGGCCACTGAAGACAGTAAGGTAAGTGGTAGAAGACACTCCTCATACGAAAAATCCTTCAGAAAAGTCATTCCAACCCTGAAGGGCATACTCATAGCTAGCAAAACGTGAAATGAGGATTAGGAATGCAGAGAGAAAATTTGAAATGCAATTAGTCCAAGATGTAACAAACAAATCACCAGAAATTCCTGGCGATGAGTGATGCCTCCAGGAACACTGCGAACACGACATCTCACAAAGGACATCAGGCTGAATTTCACCCAGAGGACAGGGCTAGAAGGGCTGCTCCTCCTCGCACCTCCGTACCACAGAGCACTCTTGTAGAGCTGAGCAGGAACAGACACATACTCTCCAAGGCAGTATTTCAAGAAAGAGGTCTCCAGAAAATACCTTGAAAACTTCAATCATATAAAAAAACCAGATTCATTCAAAAAGCAGCTGAGATACTAACAATCATAATAAAAAGGGGATCACACATTAAAACCATTAGCTTCCAGAGGGCCGAAGGGGAACAAATGTTGCCCTGTTTGAAAGAAAAATCCAGAGTAATCTGGGAAATTATCATCCTGCAAGCTTTTATTCTGTATCAACTAAATAGTTGAGACAATAATTACAGAGAGTACTAAAAATCATCTAGCTAAATGTGATACGACTGAAAAAAGCCAACAGGAATTTTGAGAGGCAAAAAAAAATCCCCATTCTTAACCAGTCCACTAAAACACACTGAGCATGTTAATGCAATGGTCAATAGAAGAGAAAAAGGAGAGATTTGTTGGGACTTTCAAGTAGCTTTCAAAATATTCCCTCACAAAGAGTGAAAATAAAACCAAGTAATTATTGGAGAAGGTGGAAGAAAATCACTTGCTCACCCCATTCTCAGCTCAGAATGCCCTCTCTGCAACACCAAGCCCAGCGCTACAGAGAGCAGCAGCGGGAGACTCTCCAGTTAGGACAAGGCTGCTACATTTAGCGATGTTTTTACCACAATTTCATTTCGGCTTGCTTTCAGTTCTTTTAGATGAGGTGATACTGCAGAAGCTCTGTTTATATTAGCACCTGTAATGTTGTTACTTCCAGAGAGGCTGAACTAGCACTGCAAACCCTGAGAAATGTGATGAAAAGAGAAACAGGTCCAGGTAGGACCGACAAGTTTGAAGGGCTCTT